CAATTCGAACTAAAATAGAACAAGAATTGGATGATCTTGAAAAACAAGATATCATTACTAAAGTTGATCGATCAGAATGGGCTACACCGATTGTTCCGATAGTAAAAGCCGACGGTAGTATAAGGATATGCGGTGATTTTAAAATCACATTAAATCCCAATTTACAAGTGGACGATCATCCGGTACCTTCTATAGAAGAACTATTTGCAGCCATGGCAGGTGGCACTAAATTTTCTAAAATTGATATAAAAAAAGCGTTCTTGAATATAGAAGTCCACCCTGATGATCGGCACCTACTTACGCTAAATACACATAAAGGATTATATCAATGTAACAGACTAATGTTCGGCGTAGCATCAGCACCGGCGATTTGGCAGCGGGAAATCGAAAAAATTCTTGTAGGCATTGAAGGCGTAGCAGTATTCTACGACGATATTAGAATTACGGGTCCTACCGATGAAGTACATTTAGCCCGCCTAGAACAAGTATTGTCGAGATTACAGAAATATAACTTACGGGTAAATAGAGATAAATCTACATTCTTCGCGGACAGAATAAACTACTGCGGATACACTATAGACAAGGAGGGCTTACATAAAATGCAAGATAAAATTGACGCAATTACAAATGCAAAGCGCCCCGAGGACAGGACGCAATTACAATCGTTCTTAGGATTAGTTAACTATTACGGTAGATTTTTACCAAATTTAAGTGCCATCTTACATCCACTTTACAATCTTTTACAAAAAGATGTTAAATTCATTTGGAACAACGAATGTGATAGGGCTTTCTGTTTAGTAAAAAAGCATATTTGCTCACCGAACGTACTTGCACATTTCAATACAAAATTACCCCTAGTACTAGCCACCGATGCATCACCCTACGGAGTGGGAGCAGTGCTGTCCCACAAATACCCGGATGGATCAGAAAGACCCATACAGTTCGCCTCTCAAACACTTACAAAGACTCAACGCAAATACTCACAAATCGATAAAGAGGCATACAGTATTATCTTCGGTGTAAAAAAATTCTACCAGTATCTCTATGGTCGCAAATTTACCTTAATTACGGATCACAAACCGCTTTTGCAAATTTTTAACCCTGATAAAGCATTGCCTTCGCTAACAACTACGAGAATGCAGCACTATGCAATATACTTGAGGGCTTTTAATTTTGAAATTAAGTATCGAAGAAGCCAATTACACGCAAATGCTGATGCTATGTCACGCCTACCTACAAAATCTGAAGCGCCGATTCCAGAAAAGGATGCCATAGACCTTTTCGAAATAAATCAAGTCGAAAATTTGCAAACGACAGTATCACGATTAGCTTCGGAAACTAATAAAGATGAAAGTTTAAAGATGTTGTTGTTAGGGCTTACTACGGGTAAAACAATCGATAGAGAACTGCGATGGAATATACCACAAGAAGAATTCTCGCTGCAACAAGGGTGTATCTTTCGCGGTCATCGTGCAGTCATACCAAAAACAATGAAGAACGAAATACTAAAAGAGTTGCATGTAGGACACTTTGGCGTTAAAAGAATGAAAGAATTAGCTCGTAGTTACTGCTGGTGGAATGGGATTGATCAAGATATTGAAAGAACGGGGAAAAATTGTGTGAATTGTCTAAAAATCGCTAAGAATCCCATAAAAGTAGATACGCATAAATGGGCAGATCCCAGTATGCAGTTTGAAAGAGTGCATATTGATTACGCAGGTCCATTTCACAACTCATACTACTTTATACTTGTAGACGCATACACACGGTGGCCCGAAGTGTTCGTAACTAAAGACATAACAACGAAAACTACCATCCGTATATTGCGCGAAATATTCTCGAGATTCGGCAACCCTAAAGTACTTGTAAGCGACAATGGTCGCCAATTTATTGCGAATGAATTTAAAGAATTTTTGCGAATTAACGGGATAACGCACAAATTAACTGCGCCATACCACCCTGCAACGAACGGTTTAGCAGAGCGGTATGTACAAACATTAAAAAAATCAATACGTGCGACGAATCCAAGTAATGAAGAGGAAAAGCACAAAGCAGTACATGACTTACTTTTGCAATATAGAAGGACACGTCATAGCATTACAAATAAAACGCCAAGCGAATTGATGTTTGGAAGACAAATACGGTCGCGAATAGACTATCTATTAGAAACAAATAAAAAACACAGCACTAGAGAATATCCAACAAGGGTCGTGAAATCATTTTTAAAGGGGGATCGAGTTATGGCCCGACAATATGGTACCACAGACAAATGGAAATTCGGGAGAATACAGGAAATACTGGGAACTCTTCATTACTTGATTCAATTAGACGACGGTCGTGTGCAAAAATACCATGTCGATCAAATTAGGAAAATAGATGCGAACATTCCTAGGATCACACAATATGAATCTAACCCGCGTTACACAGATGCTCCAAAAAAACCGAATGACGATGTTCACATCACGACGCGCGCTCATAACAACGAGACTCCGCCAAAAATATCCGAGCAGAACGCTGCTGCAAACGTACTTCCAACAAATGATCCACCACCACGTCGATCTACGAGAGTTCGCAAAGTTCCAGATAGACTTATATACAATTAAAACTGAACAAATACTTTTACTACCTAACATGTAAATTTGATCACAGGGGGAGCAGTGATGGGACGCTATGTATGCATGTATGTATGTGTGTGTGTATGTATGTACTAAAGTCGTTGAGCGTTTTTATGTGCCGCTACGGTCCTAGACGCGGTAGAAAGAGACAGTGCGTGATCAACCGCAGAACGTATAACAGCTGTCCCGAAAACAAAAAAAATAAAGTGTTAAGGAATAGAACCGCAGTACGGACGTTATTATTAACTACCACCTTGTGAAAATCCTTTTCCGAATTGGTCGGAATACAACAGGAATACTTAACAAAACGCGACGCAATTATCCGAACGGATCGTAACGCGACGAAACGCGACGAGACGCAGTTATTCCAAACGCAACGGGATCAAACGCACTTAAATTACACGCGACGCAACTTAATCTTACACGCGAATCGATTCTGTATCGGCGACCGTCTAGGGAGAGAAGGCGAGAAGTTACGCGACAAACACGGAATGCCTGGTACAACAAAACTTGCACTTTACGATCTGCTCCCGTACCAAGAGTTCGCGAAATCGAGACGTGGGAGGGCACAATATTGGCAAAGGCCTACTCGAGACAATACTTTAAATTGTAGCTAACGCTGTACCATTCCCCGGTACAGGTTCAGTGATCCAGCCGAGTGGCGATTCGAGAGATCGAGAAGCGATCTCTTGACGACGCGAAAAGTCCGAACGTCGGGATCCTCGACCGTCCCGGACAGCTACCTCCGGTATTACCCTTCTAACTTAAACTTATTTCCCTACGATACAAAGCCACTCCGGTCACACTTTGCAGAATCTGCACTCGAATGGCAAGCCAGTTGGACGACAACCCACGATATGGTAATCTCGATTTCGCGCTCTTTTACATAGATAGCGGTAAATGATGGGGCTTACCAAGGTGTCCAAACACAGGTCACGGCGGGCACGGGATAATTTTCCTCTCGGAACAATATTGCAACAATAAGACTGTACTCAACACGCTAGGCAATTGCCAGATACAGAATAAGAATCCGCGAACCCTTGTGCCGGTATTAGGTCATCTCGTAGCCTTCCCCCACCATCGGCCGGAGTCTTCGAATTCTAGCGAAATCTTCTTCGGCAGGACCTCCTCCGGCTGCACAGCCTCTCTTCCTCTATTGTTGGGCCGTAGCGGGGAAGCGAAAGGGTAGCGGCGCGTTCCCTCTACGTACGTCGTTCCCTCGTTGACAGTGACGTCATTCTTCGGCAGTACATACAAAATAATACAGCAGCAGATTTCGTTCATACGATATTATACGCCCTTCGTTCTCTCTCTAGACGGTTTCTGCCCATGACCTATGACCTGTCCGACCTCCCGTGGAGGCTCCTTGTGACGGGTATAAAATACCACGCCACACTATCCATAGACCTTGCTAAGGCATTCGATCGCGTCTCCACCATTTCCATTATTAACGCTCTACGGAAGCGCGGTATCGATGAACATACCATCTCTTGTATTGAGCCCAACTACTGCAATATAACAACGACACTCGAATGGCATAGAGAACGCTTAAAGCCAATAAATATCGAACGAGGCGTTAAACAGGGTGACCCTATGTCTGGGTTCCTGTTTAATGTTGTGCTTGATGAACTGCTTAAACAACTGCATGACCGCACAGGCATCCATATAAACGACAAGAACATCGTCGCACTGGCATTTGCCGATGATATTGTGTTGATGGCACCATCACCTGTAATCATGCGCAGTCATATAAAAATAATTGAGGCCTTCTTTGCGACCCATGGCTTTGAGGTAAATGTCGATAAATGTGCCACATTTCAATACTTACTGACGACCGCGACGCTCTAACGGTCGATCATGGGTACTCCAAGTTCGACGCCGAGACTC